AGAGTCTGAAACCTTAGAAGCCAGTTAGAAAGTAATCAGTTATCCTAATAAAAAAGTAATTCGAGGACAGTAAAAATTTTGGACCCTTCCTAGGAGTTTCTCCCTGAATGCTAATCCTACACACCCCAGCACACATATTGCTATATACAGTTGATTTTTTTTCTCTTTGCTATTATCTTTACTTACACTACTGCCTTTTTTTAGTCCAATATTTATGTTCTTACCATAAATTCTCTGCACATTGTTCCATGTATCCTGAATAATTTATCTTCAAACATAGAGTTAATATTCTTTATATTATGGGGTCACTTAAGTGTTTTCTTTCAAAGAAATAAAGATAATTTTTCAGTAAGCAGGCAAGAAATGATAAGGTGGCTGTCAGAAATAATGAAAAAAATGAAAACTCTTATTAAATTTCTTTGAGAAAGAAGATATGATAAGCTATTGGTCAGAAAGCGTTTCTTTCCTGTGTTGTTAAATGTTCTTGATTAATTATTAAATCTAAGTTAAATCATTTTTAACTTATAATTATTTAGGTTGCAACTCTTTAGAAGTGCAAATTAACCTCACATGAAATCACAACAAAAATCTATCATAAAGAATAACAGTAATTTATTAGAATGATTAATATTCAGCTAAGGAAGTGACCCTAGTAAATGAATTGCAATTTTATACATGTATACACATATATGTATGAATCACATGGCTTTGTCATTAATAAATGCTTCAATAATGGTATAAACATGGAAGAAACTGTAGCTGTAGATATCACCAGCATTGGCTATTTTCTAAATGACATTTAAAGAAATGCTACTAAAATATATTGCTATTTGAGAATTTGGTCGAGAAGTCCTATGAGAAATAAGAATATCCTTTTCAATGAGTCTACTACTTTTAGCCATTTATTTTAATGTCTAGTTATTTTCTACATTCTTCCCACCATGATGAAACTTAAGCTTTAATAAAGACTTTAGTAATAATAAATCCAAGTAACAATTAGTACTAAAATAATCTCTTACTAAATTTTGATCCAAGCACTAAAATCAGAATTCTTTAAAATTTATAGTGATAGTTACTGTACTTTTGCAAAAAAAGAACAATCAGGATAAGTTTTCTTTCAATAACGTATACAATATATTGTTGGTTCCTATATTCTTTTTATAATATAATAGACTGTCTAAAATAGTCAATTCTAACAGAAGATATTTGATTCATTTACAATAATTAATCTTCCTTTGATTACAAAAGGCCAACCATACCTGAAGTTGAATCTCAATTCCGCTGTTTTCAACAATGAATACTTAAATAATTCCTCTACTTAAAAACTCAGCATACTGTTTACTTTTAAAATGATAAGTGAAATATGTGCAAAGCACTAATGTAGTATTTGGCTATTAGTATATGCCTAAAATTATAACTGTTAATATTGGTTTATCAATTTATTAGTTAAATGAGTTCATCTAATACACACACACACACACACATATATATATAATCATATTAACTATGATATTTTATACAGTTTTATAAGAAGTTTATCAATTTATTAGTTAAATGAGTTCATCTAATACACACACACACACACATATATATATAATCATATTAACTATGATATTTTATACAGTTTTATAAGTGAAATCTAAAATGTGCAATGTAAAAGATATTGGAATTTACAGAAAAATGTACAAGAAAATAAAGAATGATCTGCAATCTCATTAGTAATGAAAGAAACAATGTTTCATTTGTTTTGATATATTCTGTTAAACATATACACTTACTTTAAAAGGAAGAAGAATGTTTATTTACAGAGGTATGATAAATTATAAAGTAAATAAGGGCAAATTTATGTAAGATCTCAGTGATGTACTTTTTACCTCACTATAATAATTATTGAAAAATAAAAATGTTTGTTTTTATAACAACTTACAAAATTTACAAATTTACAGAATGTGTTTAAAATCATTAATGAGTGTCATAATTTTTTCACATGTAAAACACACTAAGAGATAGTAGGTAACAGATAATTTTCAAGTTTTATATGTTTTTATGAGAGTTCGGACACTGCAGCATCATGATAAAATTCTCTGAGAAAGGACTTTTGAAAGTCGAAAGTAGAAAATGATCCAATCACAAAGAATTATAGGATTTATTTTCTGCAAAGCAAAGTCCTTAGTTGTAGAAGGTGATGACTTATTCGTGGTAGAATGTGCAGAAAAATGAAATTGTTCAGTATGGCGTTTCAGACACAGGTTGCAGCCGGCTCATGTCAGAACTTGTTGGCAGCGATAAGATGCTTGGGTTTTATTCCAGGTGCATTAGAAGTCCATCAAAGAATTTTAAGCAACAAATGAAATGATGATTCATGTTACAAAGTTTCAATCTTGTGAGCAGTGGATTACATAGGGTCAAGAATGGGATTAGTGAAAACAGGGAGAAAGCGCTTGCTCTGAAATCCTACTCTGTTGTTTATCAGCAGTGGATCTTTAATGCTTTACTTAAACTTTGCCTCACTTTCCTCATCTTTAAAAATAGGCGTGGTAAAAAAAAATAAGTGTGGTAATATCACTTGTCATATAGAGTTCAAATATCAATTTAGATCATGTCTGTAAAATGCTAAGTATAGCCTCTAATACCCTGTAAGCGATACAAATAATTATTGCTGTTATTATTGGTCTCAGAAGTGGCAATGTCAACTAGGAAATCTGCTATATAAATACAACATTTCAAAGGAAATGATTGACATTCTAATTATCTTAAAACTTCACACCTCATTACACTGCTTTGGAGTATATGAAAACTAGCCTAGAATCGCTTCTGTTTTTCTGGAAACTATCTTCTCTCTCATCTTTATTCTTCACTATTATTTTTGTGGGTTGTAGAAGGGAAGGTTGGAATGGAGTTGAGAAGTAAAGAAAAGAAAGATTGATAAGAGAACTGGAAAATTATCTGAACTCTAAAATGTTCACTTTCTTTTACAACTGCAATTACTTCAAAAACAGAGTTGAGCTTATAATTGATTTTTTAATTTCATTGCATGAATCGAAAACTATTTTTATACTAGAGTTTTAGATTTGTCCAATAATTATTAAGTACTGAAGCCTCAAAGTAGTCTGGTTTACTGACATAGAAAAAAGTCCTTTTACTTCAGATCTGCTTTCTACTCTTCTGCAAACAACAGCATTATGAAAAATACCCTTTTGCCATATGCAATTGAACTACAGTGTAGTTCAAACATAGGAATAAATTTGAGCATGAGCATCATCATTTATCTATTTAGCAGAAAAGAATATAATTTACTGCACATCTGGATGGTATAACATCATATTCTGAAGATTCCAAAATAAAAATGATAATACACTTGCCTTCAAAATAGAAAATGTGAAACATGTGGACTAGGTTAAAAATCTATCGTATTCTTCAATAGCTTTGTAAAACTGCTACTTGCTAAATGTCAGTGATTATTGTTATATGGTCAGTAATATATGAAGGGCCTTCTTGAAGCAAGTATCACCTACCTTTCTCTCTTTCTCTTTCTCCCTTTCTCTCTTTCTTTTTTATTTTTCTTTCTCTTTCTTTCTTTCTTTCTTTCTTTCTTTCTTTCTTTCTTTCTTTCTTTCTTTCTTTCTTTCTTTCTTTCTTTCTTTCTTTCTTTCTTTCTTTCTTTCTTTCTTTCTTTCTTTCTTTCTTTCTTTCTTTCATTCCCTTCCTTTCCTTTCCCTTCCTTCCTTTCTTTTTCTCTTTTTTTTTCTTTCTTCAGCCCAGTAATAATGTTATGAGAAGAAGATCAGAAAAGAATACAGCAAGTGGCCACCACCATCATGAGGATCCCAAAAATTCAAACTGGTAAGTGAAAAATATGAGATAAATTTTATTTTTTATGTGTCAGGAAATCTATTTATTGTGATTCCTAAGCAACTACATCCTCATAGTCTATATATTTAAAACTGACAGTATTTCTAAAATTTAGCAGATGAAATGTATTTTTCATGACTTGCAAAGCTTCTAGAAGGTGGGAAAACATGGGAAAGACATAGCCAACTTTGTTATAAACAGACGTGGATTTGAAGAAGCTATATGATTTTTGTGAAAATTGTTTACATTCTTTGAGAATTTAATTTCCTTATTTTAAATGGAGGTTGTGATAGTTATTTGTTAGTTTCCTGGAAATTAACTAAGTCATTATAGAAATAATCTAATAGTTTTCTTGGCATATGGAAGACCTTAAACATGTAACATTAATTATTATTGAGTATTTGCAACATGTGAAGGAACACATGCTAAATATTTAACTGCATTATTTTGTATAATTCTCACTATAACCTTAAAATTAATAGCTATAATTACTTCTTATTAACCAAGTAATAATCTATTAAAATATTATGTGATTTATCTATACAGTACAGACTCTTCCCTGAGACAGCTTTTTAAATCCAGTTCTGTCTGGGGGCAGAGATTCTGTTCTTCTGTTTACTTATAAACTCAACAAATATTTATCAGATATAAAGATAGGACAAGTTTTCTTTAGCAGAGATGCTGTGCTGCTTCCCAAATGATTATTACAAATTATATTATAATTGTATAGTTGTATGAATTTTTTATAAATATAAAAATTTTGCATAGTGTATATCCTTTGTGAGGTAGATTAAGTAGGGATCACGATTCTGTTTTACACATGGAAAAAACTGAGTTTCTAAGACATTCATTGGAGGTCTTAGAGCTCAGTATTTCTCAGATTTTCTGTGGCCGAGGTTCAGTGTATATTTTATCCACCGAAGACTACATATTTCTGTAAAATTACTAAAAAGTAAGTACCGGAGAAACTAAAGGATAAGAGCAGAATATACACAAATACACATTTAATTTTTATTTATAATTATTTGACAGACACAAAAAACTATACCACATGTCTATAAAAGATTCCCTAATGATATTTCTTAAATTCCCTGTTTCTCATGGTACAGACCCATGACTATCTTCAGACTGACACTGTCCTGCAGACCAGGGAGCAAATCATACAGCACTGATGGAGCTCTATGAAGCAAACCTGACACTTGGCGTAATGCCAACCATCATGTAGGACGGGTCCCTTTTTTTTTTTCATTAATTTTATCAGTGCATTTTCAGTATATAATATGCACACATTCATTATTGGGAATTTGTACTTTTAAAAATGCATCTTGGTTCTCATTTTCCCCCATTTTCCTGCCCTCCCTTCACTCCCTCTACCCCTCCCTGTTTATAAAGACTTTGTTTACATTTTTTCTTTTCTCATATTTATTCCTTTCCCTTCTTCCTTTCCCTACCCCTCCTGCTTCCCCTTTCCCTTCGACCCTTTTCTTCCAATTTCACATTAGCTGTTATATATTTTGACTCTTATTTACACTTTTAGTTTCTCATACCAGTAAAATTCTTCAGTATTTACACGTATATGTCCTATTTATTGCACTTAAGAATATGGTCTCAATCTGCATCCATTTAGCTATAAATGTTTATAATTTCCCATCTTTATGGCTGAGTGGTACCCTACTTTATAAAAACATTCAGATATTCTTAATCCAATCTCCAGCTGATGGGCAATTGGGCTGTTTCCAAGTTTCAGTTATTACAAACTGTGCCACTATGAACATGGGTGCACATATATCATGTGGTATGATTCTTTTAATTTTGGGGGGAAGATATCCAGCAGTGAAATAGCTGGGTCAAGTGGGACCTCTAATCCTAGTTTATTGTTTGTTTGTTTGTTGCAAACATAACTTTAAAAAATATGGAACACTTCAAGAATTTGCACGTCATCCTTGTGCAGGGAACATGTTAATCTTTGCATCGTTCCAATTTTAGTATATGTGCTGCAGAAGCAAGCACTAATCCTAATTTTTTGAGGCATCTCCATACTGATTTCCACATTGGATTCACAGCCCTGCCAGCATTTGTTATTGGTTGATTTCTTGATAGCAGCCATTCTTTCTGGGATGAGGTGGAATTTCAGGGTTGTTTTCATTTGTATCTCTCAAATGACCACTGAGGGTGAACACTTTTTCATATATTTATTTGCCATTTCTACTTCTTTTTCTGAGAAATACCTGTTCATTTCAGATGCCAATTTTTGGATTGAGTCTTCAAATTTTGGGAGTTTTGATTTTTTTTTAATTCTTTATATATTCTAGATAGTAGACCTTTGCTTGAGAAACAGAGGGGAAAAATTTATTCTCATGTTGTGAGTTGTCTCTTTACACTGTTGGTAGTTTCTCTTGCTGTGCAGAAACATCTTAATAAGAAGAGATCCCACTTGTTGATTGCTTGTGCTAATTCACGTGCACCCGAAGTTTTGTTCATAAAATCTTTTCCTATGGCAGTGTCTTCAAGAATTCTACCTAACATCTCTTCCAGCTGGTTTAGTGCTTCTGTTTTAATATTTAGATATTTAATCCATTTTGATTTTAGTTTAGTTCATGATGAGAGATATAGGTCCAGTTTTAATCTTTGGCAAATTGAAACCCAATTTTTCCACAACCATTTATTAAAGAGGCCATCTTTTCTCAGTGATGGTGTTTGACTCCTTTGTAAAAGTTGAAGTTGCTGAGTGTGTCTGGAGTTGTTTCTGCATTCTATTCCACTGCTCCTCAGGTCTGTTTCTTTGCCAGTACCAAGCTGTTTTGTCACAGTGGCTTTGTACTGTATTTTCAAATTGGGGATTGTGATACCACCTACCTTCTCTTTGTTGCCTAGATTGCTTTTGCTATTCTAGGTCTCTTGTTCCAAATGAGTTTTTGGACTGTTTTCTCAAAGTCTCTGAAGTATGCTGTTGGGATTTCAAATGGAATTGCAACTGGGATTGCATTGAATCTGTATTAATAGAGCCAATGACAAAAAAATGATCATCTCAATAGATGAAGAAAAAGTGTTCAATGAAATCCATCACACATTCATGATAAAATCCCTACAGAAAATTGGAATTGATAGTCTTTATCTCAACCTGATAAAGGCTATTTGTGAAAACCCAAGAGCCAGCATCATACTAAATGATCAAAAACATAAATCTTCCATGCTAAAATCAGGGATAAGACAAGGATGTCCAATATCTCCACTCCTGTTCACAAGATTTTGGAAACATTAGCAACAGCAATTTGACAAAAGGAATAAATTTAGGAAATGAAAAAGTTAAATTGTCATTATTTGCAGATGACATGATACTCTATAAAGAAGACACCAAGAATCCCAAAAGTCTTCTAGACTAAATAACCAAATTCAATAGAGTAGCAAGATGCAGAGTCAACATAAAAAATTCAGTAGCTTTCCTGTATATGAACAACAGACTCACCCCCAGAAATGAAATAACTGGTAATTATCCAAACAAAAGAAATCAAAGACTTCTACTCTGAAATCTATAGCACTTTGAAAATAGAGATCAAAGAGGATATCAGAAAATGGAAAGACATCCCTTACTCTTGGGTAGGAAGAACCAATATGGTGAAAATGGCTGTACTTCCAAAACTGGTACATAGATTTGAAGCACACATCTATTATTACTCTAGGCTGCTTCAACAGCAAGAATGCTCTTTTGTGATTGAAGAGAAGATTGAATTCTAAATTGATAAGATGAAACTGGTTTTAGAAAAATGACAGGCACAACCTCTTAAAAGAGTTACATGAAACAATTGACATAAAAAGTGAAAAAACAATTGGAAGTTTGTAGAATGATTTCTGCTATATTTATTTACAAGACATCAAGAGTTCTAAAAATTTGATAGATGTTATCAATTTTCTTAAGATGTGTTTAGCTTATTTTTTCTTTTCATCATATTTATTTTTTGAAGATTGAAGTTAAATTATATTCAGAAGATTGGAGCATGTCAGTTTCCAAGGAACAATTAGACCTGTTATAATTTCAAGAGCTGAATGTGGATCTTGACCTGCTATGAAATGAACATGAACTACTACATCTCTCCATTATGTAAAAGAGGCTTTGAAATATATTTCCCTTTTCATTTCAGGAACTACCTAAAAGAATTTGAGCACTTTTGGTGCTAGGTAAAATGGATATTGAGTAACAATGAAAACTGATTTTTTTAAAGATGATTCTGTGACTTTCTTAATTCGATTGAAATGGACCCAAATATTTACATGTGTTATTATATTGATGACTATTTTACCATCTGTGTCAGAGTATACTGCACAGATGTTAAGGCATAGCTTTTGGTTGTAAGTAAATATTTGGTAAAAATTGAATTTTTTAATCATAGTTAAATGTGTCAGAAATTAATTTATGTGAATTTTAACCATCTTAGCAGTGTGTGAAGCATCTTAAAATGATTATAAAGAGTATAGCTTAATGAAAAAATGTATTTTGTGTGTGTGTGTGTGTGTGTGTGTATCTGTGTATGTAGTACTCTATTTAATCAAGGTAAGAGGGATATACACCAGGAAAGGAAGTTGGTTACCAAAATTCTAGTGGAGTTGCATGTTTGAATGTCTGATACTTATTAGATTTTTAGCCTGAGATTGTTTTAAGAATCTGTTCTTTAACAGTGAAGCTTAAAAGCTCTCTGAAAAAAAAAAACTAAGGCATCAGTGAGATAAGCACTTAGTGTCAGTCTTGCCAGTTGACTATTGTAAAACACAACATGTCTATAGGTTTTATTATAATCTCAGATCAGTAAGCAAACCATAGCAATGAGACCAGCAAACTATAGACCTGAACAATGATTATTTGACATTGAAAATAAAAATCCTCAAGAGTAAAAGCATATGTAGAATAATGAATTATATAGAAATCAGCAAAAAAATATGTTAGGAAATAGTTGGCTATCCTTAAATATGCAATGAATTACTGAGAAATTAAGACCTAGAGACTGAATAAATTAAAAAACAGGGTAGAAAGGAAATGAAAAGTTTAAGGAAAAATTTAATCTGACAGAGATAAGAAATAGCTGAGGAAACATTTAGTTTATTCAAAATTACAGAGGGCAAGGACAAATGGTGAAACAAGAAAAGAAAAAATGCCAATGTATAGAACAGAAACCCTACGCTAGTTGATTTTTTTTTCCTCATTGAGTTAATCGGTACTTTTAAAGTATACAGCATAGCCAACATTCATCTTTGGGATATTGTACCTTTACATGACAGATCTTGGTTCTCATTTTTTCCCCATACCCCTGCCCTCCCTTTACCCCCTCCTCCCTTTCGTATTTATAAAGACTTTGTTTCCGTATTTTCTTTTTCTCATATTGTTTTCTTTTGCCTTATTTCCTTCCTCTATACCTTTAGCCCTTTGCTTCCTATTTCACATTGTCAGTTATACAATTTGGATCTTGTTTACACTTTCAGTTTTTCAGATCAGAGAAATTATTCAGTATTTACACATTGTGTCTTCTTAAAGATAGAATAGAATAATTTCTAATAAGAAAATGTAATTTCAAAATCACAAGTGAAAAAATTGCTCAAGTAATAAACAGAAAGCTATTTTACATTTTTGAATGTCAACTTTATATTACATTTAAATAAAAGAAAGAAGGAATGGAAGATTTTGATCATTTTACAAATTATTTTCTCTGGTTTAAGTTTTTTTCTTTTTTGGCATGGGAATCGCCTATTATTTAAAATAAACATGCCCTAATGATAAACCTAGAAAAGAATGATTTTGGGGTGTTATGGATTTTTTTAAAATTCCTTATACATCTATAGTTATTGGTTTAGTCAGATTTACTTGTTTCTCTGAAACAGTTTTGATTAATTCCGTTAACCAGAGAAAAGTACCAATGCTGAGCAATTATCCAATTGTCTAAAAAGACTAGTACACTGAACAGAATAATAACAATTTTAATTTTTTATTTTTTTGACAAATGAAATAATTATATAGTCTAAGTAAATGTTTTTGAAATATGTCTAAGAACAGTGTACAAATCATAAGTGAACAGCTCCACATATTTTTACAGTATCCATAAACCTTTGAACATTTAAAAAGTAGATCATAGCTAACATCTCTGAAAACACTCTTTCCTCTTTTGAAGTGATAGATTCCAACTTTTTACAAGGGTTACCTTGTGATTATTTAGTCTGTTTTTGAGCTTTATATTGTGGTATTATAGATTTTTGTACTTGTTTTGTGTGTCACCACTTACTTTAAATATTATGTATGGGAAATTCCTATGAGTTACTCTAGTTTAATTTTCAGTGTATTTCCTCAGGACCAGTTTGTGGATTTTACATCTTTATATATGTCACTAATACTCTGAGTTTGAGCAAGAGTTATAAAAATCTGTCATGCTTTGAAAAATTTATAGCGTAAATCAGAATAGTCACTTATATACAATTGATGTAAAGTTTTAGATCTCTGTAAAGGTTGAAGAAAAAGGTGACAAAATTCTGACTGCGGCTTTTAATCTTACTTTATAATTTTAATTCATGTTCTAAATGTGCTTGAAAATGTCACATGAGATTTTTTAGTTAGAGAATGATGACTCAGGGGTCATGACACGTACAGGACGCTGGGACTCCATCTACTGACCCCGATACAAAAGTAAGAGCACTGGATTTTATTTGTTCTCAAAACATCATTTAAACTAAACAACAACAAAAACAAGTCCCCAGATTTGTCAGGGGATTTGAGTACTTCACAGCTATATTTAGGTACTCTCTAGAAAATGATAATAAAACACTGAAAACATGAGTAGAAGATATGAAGGTGAATCCTTGCTTACTTTTATTCTTTTTTTTACTCCCCTCCTATTACTATCTCCATCACCACCACAACAAATTGTCCTCTAGGCTTAGGTAAATCCATTATTGTGGAGGACTATCTATCTTACAACCCACTGCAAAACACACAGACTAAAGGAATTAGTCTTCAGAGGGAGGCAGAAAAT